TCTAGCTAGAGAACTTTTGGCCTCTTTATCCCCTCACTTGGGGTATCTTTATGTCTTCTTTAGGAAGACTAACCTGTTTATATCCCTTATAAGTAAGTTAATGACCTAGAACAATCTGAATTGAAAAGCCAAATCCAATATCTCAGTCAAACTTGTTAAAAACATGTGTTCTGAATATTTTCCAAACAAATAACTTTAGGGGTACAGAACATAACTTTTAGGGTTCCATAGCATCATATGAAAATTTTCTCAAAAGGCTAAATCTTCTGTTGTTGGTTTTAAGGTTTTCTTTTATGTTTAATGCTCTAACTACAATTTTCTTTGAACATTGATATGGCCAGAAAGTGATCTCAGACAAAAAATAAAACCCTAGAAATTAGAATGATAAAAGACAGAACTGAAATTACCATATCTATATACATGAAACTCCTTAGTAGAGATGATGATAGATAATCCCAGCTTTTTGAAATTTAAATATTATGTGCTTTGCAACATATCTACTCCACTGCTGGAAGGTACATGAAAGAGGAACCCATAATATTTCAGCTGACACCCCAGCCCCCCAGGAATTAGTGGGATATAGTGCTGGACATGACGTTACCTTGAGTACATGACAGTCAGCCCCTAACCAGGCTCCGATTCACAAACCAAGGTGGCACTCACTTTAAGTTCTTGGGTAAGATATGAACTTGTGGTAATTGGGACATTCCGTCAAACGTTCCCACTGTTCTCTTCTTTCCCAGTCTTGTTTGACTTTATTGGTGTTTTGTTTTTGTTTTGTTTTGTTTTAATTAAAAAGAATAAGCAGTCAAACCTGCTGAACTTCATGGGAAATATTTTAGTGTTATGGTGTCAAAGTGTCTGTCTGACAGGGCCTAGGAGCAACTACATCAGAAAGGTACTTTTCTACTTTTTTCCTTACAGAAATCTAGGCAGAGTCTGGAGCTGGAGTTGGCTGTCATGTCCAAGTCTGTCTGCTTTTTTTTTTGTTTGAAACAGCCAGGGTAAGATGAACTGCTTGGTAAGATGGGCTGTTTTGAATCAAATAGTCCAGTTATGATATCACTTCTTTTTGATATTAGTGTTAACATGTTTATTGTAATTTTTATTCTATCTGAAGATGTGTTACCTTGCTGGACCAGTTATTATCTTATAGAAAGAATATTACATATTCAATAAGAATAAAAGAGTCCATCTTTCCTTCACTCCATTTTACTCAGACACCATAAAAATTAATTGATTGGAAGAATTCAGTCTATACTGACTGGTGAATAAAATAAAAGCAACAATAAAATGAATGTAATTTTAGAACATTTATTCCCATAACTTGTATATATTTTTAGATTTTACCAACACCAATCTTACTTAAAATACTCTCTTAATTTTAATTTTAAGCTTATAGTTAGAATATAATAAAATTATAACTAATATGATGGTCATACACTGTCAGCTTAGAAGGTTTAGATTCTCTTTTAATGTAACCTAATTAAAATTAATAATGATTCAAATTAAAATATAATGCCAAGAACATTCCCAAATGTAGTACCATGAGCAGGCAACTCCAGCAATACTATAATGTAGTCTAGGTTTGCTAAATGTGGATATTTTCAGAGAAGATTGAAATCTGTGGCTTAGCCATCTACTTTTTCAGATTATTTTTCATCAGTTTGGGGTCTAATTATAGTGATGGGAGACATTCTTTTTCCCCATGGAATCTGTGCATCATAATTTCTTGCTAAGAAAATTAATGTAAGACTAACACCATAAAACCAAAGAATATGGATAACTGAAATTACTTATGAAACTCTAATTTAATAACAGTGTCAAGATCGTAGGATTGGAGATTCAGGATAAATTCTCTAGGAAAGTCAGCTTTCTATGACACAGCTGTACTGTACATTCAACAGCAATCCTTGCATGGTTTAAATTTCTTTCACCTCTTGAAGCTGAAGGCTTTTCTTCTACCCTCCAACTCTAGCATTAAAAAGAGGCTGTACTGATTAAAATATTTGAATGGATACTGCATATTGCCTCACATTAAAGCTGTCTCCCATTACTATATTTTAACAACAACAACAACACCATACAGTGTTCTTTTGATTGTAATCAGTCCTTCCCTGCCCCGTGTTAGTTGTTTTCTTACCACAGCAATATGTAAATCAATAAATCAATAACATATTTTTATTACACAGTGATTCCACTTTGCCACTGTGACTTAAAGTACCTGACTGCTGATGACTTTCTTTGTATTCGTTTCACCCTTTCCCCCCAATCTCTGTTAGGTTCTGAGCTCATGCCCAAAGCGCTCTCCACCAGGATAGTGGGAGGCATTTGGTGGTTTTTCACACTTATCATCATTTCTTCGTATACTGCTAACTTAGCCGCCTTTCTAACAGTGGAACGCATGGAATCTCCCATTGACTCTGCTGATGATTTAGCTAAACAGACCAAGATAGAGTATGGAGCTGTGGAGGATGGGGCCACTATGACCTTTTTTAAGGTAAGATTCTTTAAATAGTTCCTTAGGTACATTGAAATAATGCATTTAAGTAGAACCATGCCCTACAAATAGCATTCATTTATGTTGTTATGATGGCATTATGCTGTTATTACATCAAAAACTATAGGAAATATTTTTATTTTCTGTGCAGTAAAGAAAAATTAAAATTAGCATGGGAGAAAAATAACCATTGCATATACCTACATAAGGCAAATTCCTCAGTAATTTGAAATTGAAAGACAATTTGCATAACATATTTTATTCCTCATATATATTTTTAAATATTCAAACATAATGTAGAATTTTTGATTCAGTTGAATTTGGAAATAAAAATAGTGAATGAATTCTTTACAGATTTTTGAAAGACAGATGTTTGTCATGAAAGGTTTAGTGACTTCAGGGCAATTTTTTGATTAACAGGCCTTCTTGCCTTTTTGTGAAAGGCAAGGGTCCCAAATCTGGATGATGGAGCAGTAAGATGTTTCACAAAATGTGGGAATAAAGATGTCAGAGAATAGAAGATGTGACACAGTACTTGTGTTCCACATCTATAGCTGGCTTTGGAAACACAGGCACCATAAAATATATTAGTTATGTTTAACAGATGTCAGTGCACGTTTATTGGTGAGATGTTTGGAGTCCTTTGGAAATGGTGAGACCACATGGGCAACATGTTTGAATTTCAATGACCTTCATCTGGCTTCTTCTACACCTCTTGCCCTGCTAATTGTAGGTGGTCACACTGATTCAGGGACTCCAAGTGGAAAGGTGCATGGAAAAGAAGATGGAAGCTCTAGATTCATGCTCTGTTCTCCCTATTACCCCTGCCATTTCCCTCCACTCTGAGTAATCAGGGTCATTTGGTAGTTATTTGCTATTACATTTCAGCAAACATTTTCTCCACTTTAATGTAAGAAAAATTCATAGAAAGAACACTTTAGTTTATAGTTTAGTTTATAGAATGTAATTGAAATGACTAGGCGTGAACATATAGTTAAGTATTATTGTATTTATGTTGTACTTGAAAATTCATGTCATCATTTTTCTTTAATGTTCTTTTTAAGGTGTATTTTTTACATAGCAAAACTCTTTTATGATTGTTTAATATTGATGTAAATATGGATATAGTGATAGAAAATGAACATTCCCTAAGTCTTTCTCAGCTGATTCAGTCAACATGTAGTCATACTTCATTAAAATTGCTTTTAAATGGACAGTTATGAAATACATAATCTAACGGATTTTTCTCATGCAACCTACAGCTGAAGATAAAGAAAAATGACTATTCCATTATCTAAATTAAGAAATGATAATTTATTCATTAAAAATATGCAATAAATACTTATTATATGCAAGTGCAAGGGACTGTGCTAGGAACTGTAGATTTTGTATACTTCAGATCTTATTGATGAATGCTTTGTTATAAAATATGACAAATCATCATTTTAAATGCTTTTCCTCAGGATACTCATATTATTTCATTCCTTTATCTGTTTATTTTTACTTCATAAGGGGTTTATATTTCATTTTTTACTTTTCAATTAACAAAATTTTATTTTCTCCTTCTTCTGCTCTCATCTGCCCCACCAGAAAAGAAACAGAAAACTCTCATAAGTATATAGAGACAAGCAAAACAAATTCCTGCATTGTTCATGACTAAAATTGTGTATCTGATTCTTTATATTTAACCCCTCACTTTCTCAAAAGTTAGGTAATATTCTTAATCATTGTTTTTCTGAATTTGTGGCGGGTCAATACATTTATCAAAGTTCTTAAATCATTCATAGTTATTTTTTATAGTTTCTTTCTTGATACAGTTGTTTTCCTAATTCAGCTCACTTCACTCTGAATAAGTCCATGCATATCTTCCCATGATCTTTTGAAAGTAATTTATTTTATCATTTCTTAAGGTACATCAACATTCCTTTACATTCATATATCATGATTTAGTCAATCATTTTCCAGTGGATGGACACCCCTCTCGTTTCTAGTTCTTTATTTTATTTAATTTTATTTATTTGTTTTTAGGCAATTGGTGTTAAGTGACTTGCCAAGGGTCACACAGCTAGTAAGTGTGAAGTGTTTGGTCTGAGGCTGGGTTTGAACTCAGGTCCTCCTAACTCCAGAGCTGGTACTCTATCCACTGCGTCACCTAGCTGCCCCTCTCTAGCTCTTTATTAAAACAAAAGGTGTGACATGGATATTTTTGTACATATGAATCCTTTCCCTTTAAAAAAAAATTCTCTCTTGGATATAAATCTTCTAGTGGCAATTTTGGGTCAAAGGATATTCGTGGTTTAGTGACTTTTGGTAATATACTTCTAAACTGTTTTCCTTAATGGCTAGAACAATTTAAAGTTCTACCAACAGTACTTGACCTCTCATAGCCCCACCAATATTTGTAATTTTACTTTTTTTGGGTCATTTTTGCAATCTGATGGATGTGATAAGGACCCTCGAAATGATTTTTTATTTCTCTTATTATTAGTGATTTGGCCCCATTTTCCCCTTTCAAACAGCTATTGCTAGCATGGATTTCATCCTTGTAAAACTTTGACAGAAAGGAATATTTATGAAGTATCCATAAACATTCTTTCAAGACTACAATGGATGCATGCACTGATCTTATTGATGATATTTCCTTTGTCAGTATGGATTACAGCCTGTTTCTTACTTCTTATTGTGTATAATACTTGTTCATGCTTTCCAACAGATCCTTGAGAAAGGATCCATTACAAAGATTGGGAAGTCTTCCTTCAACATTTTTACATTTTGAGGGTTCTAGTGCAGTAATTAGTTTGTCACTTTCTTAGTCTTGCCACATGAATGCCCTTCTGATTTTTCCTTTCTAACTCTTCTGCAGGAAATGACACCTTTTGTGAATATCAGTATTGGAAGAACTAGTGCAACCTCCTTATGGTTGTCATGCATTTCTAGGATTAAAATTCATCTACAACTCAAATCTTTAAAGATTATGACATGAAGTGATTCACAACTTCACTACCTGAAATAATTTGTGTTAAAGAGCTAGGTCTTTGTGTCAGAGATGTGTTCGGGTTCATTACAGATATTGTGTCCCAAATTTAAATAATCTATTTTCTTGCTTCTTTTCAATTCTTGACTCATATTTGTATATTTCAAAGCCTCATATAAAATGTAAAGGTGCCTCCAAAGTTTAAGATTTTAGGGATATTCTTTGTGTTCTGATTTGCTAAATCAGTAGACAGGAAGTCTGATTTCATATCATATTCGTATTTCATATGAGTGAAAGATATTTTTCATCTATTTTGATTTTTGGTTATGGAGTACCTGGAAACTCCATAATATTCTGCAACTTGATCCCATCAGCAAAATGTTACCTGTCAATGCCTTGCAGAAGATATTACCATCTATGTCATTATTCAGTTGTTTAGTTGAGCCTGACTCTTTGTGACTCCATGAACTTGTCCATGGGGTTTTCTTGGCAAAGATATTAGAGTGGTTTACCATTTCCTTCACCAGTGTGCCCCCATACAGATGAGGAGCTGAAGCAAATAAGGATTAAATGATTTGCCAAAGGTCCTACAGCTAGTAAATGTCTGAGGCTGGATTTGAACTCAAATCTTCCTGACTCTAGGCCCACTGCACCACCTAGTTGTCTTCATCATCTATAGCAGAAGTTACTAAATTGGGATCCATAGGTCTTTAAGTAGTTCATGAATAGATTGGGGGTGTCTCTATGCAATTACACAGGGAAAATATAAACTCTTTATTTTCACTAACTCCTAACTGAAATTTATCGTGTCTTTCAATTATTTAAAAACAATCTGAGAAGTGGTCTACAGGATGTATCAGACTACCAGAGGGATCCATGTCACAAAAAAGGTTAAGAATATCTGATCTGTAAGAATCCATCCTCTGTTTTTGACTATGGAAATGACTTTTTTGATAATACTTATCAATATTTCCTTCCTTGCTTGACATTAATGACCAGGTGATTGATCAATAAACAGTTGTCTTTGTTTCAAATTTATCAAATGTGTGTGTGACCTTAAAATATAAGTAAAAAGAAAAAGTATTTGGAGAAAAGCCTTGAAGACTGCATCTTGCTCTACCAAATCAATTTTTTTTTGTTTTTGTTTTTTTGTAGTCACCAAAGAATAAGCCCAGTGGAATCTGCAAACTTTATAGAATCTTAATTTCATTTTTATTTTTCAAAAGATTTGGTCTATTTCAGCATATTAAGTATGTTGTGAAGATTATACTTAAAGGCTGCCAAATGATCAAAGACATTTGTGGGGAGGGAGATTCCTCATATTTTTATTTCATTTTATATTTTGAAATTATGTAAAACATTTCCATATTAGTCATTTTGTACAAGAAAACTTAAATAAAAGAAACAGAAAAAAGAAAATGAAAAATAACATACTTCAGTCTGTATTCAGTCAATATCAGTTCTTTCTCTGGAAGAGGATAGTATGCTTCCTCATTAATCCTTTGGGATTGTCTTGGATCATAGTATTGCTGAGAATAGCTGTCATTCACAGTTCTTCATTGAACAATATTGCTATTACTTTGTACAATGTTCCGGTTCTGCTCACTTCACTATGTATCAGTATAAGTCTTTCCAGGTTTTTATGAAAGTTTACCTTCTTGTCATTTCTTATAGTACAATAGTATTCCATTGCAATCATATACACAGCTTGTTTAGTCATTCCCTTTGATGGACATCCCTTTGATTTCCTATTCTTAATCACCACAAAAAGAGCTGCTATTAATATTTTTGTACAAATAAGTCCTTTCCCCTTTTTTTGGATGCCTTTGGGATGTAGACCTAGCAGTGGCATTACAGAATCAAAGTGTATGCACAGTTTTATAGCCTTTTGGATATAGTTCCAAATTGCCCTTCAGATTGGTTGGATCAGTTCACAACTCCACCAACAATGCATAAGTGTCCCAGTTTTCCCACATCCTTTCTCACATCCAAGATTTTCCTTTTTTGTCATATTAGCCACTCTGAT